GTCCCTGTATACTAGAATACGCTTAAAAAACATGAAGTGACGCTGAACAGCAGTGTAGCCGAGAAGACCAATCAGTCTCGAGTATTTGCTCTTTTTCATTACACTTATACTTAGAGCACGAGCTTGAATCAAAAGAAGAGAATTTCCAGAGCACCAAACAAAGCAAAGCTATACAGAATGAGAACGAAAACTTTGATCTTATAAAGACAAGGTCTTATAAACAGTTGATTTGAAGAAAGCTAAAAAAAATACTCACTTATTAGTGGCAGCTCGAACAGCGGAAGAGAAACGTTCCAAAGACACTTTTACCAAGGAGTTTACAACTAGAGATCGAAAATCTAGACCCATGCGACCTAGAGATGCTGCCAACGACATGAGTTTTGACCATACTGTGCACATATCAACGCCACTTCTGGAAAATGAGGCCTTCGACATAAGGCTGATAGAATGAATTAATCAAAACAATAAAGAAAGGAAACCCACTTCATATCAGTTCTACAAATCAGGTCCAACAATCTAGTGATATTACGTGCCGTCCAATGACCAAGCACTGACGATGGCGCGCTCGAAGGCCATGTTTCCCAACGGGGATCCAGAGACAACTGAATACTATTCGCTCACAGAAGAAAAACCTTCCCAATTACCTACTTATACCCGAATCTACAGAGTGTCTCAAGATTACTACAGCGTACGGCCAATCACGATGCATGGTCAGAATCTCGTTGTTACCCCGTTCCCTGATTTTTAGGAAAAAAATCCTTCACCAAAAATTGTAGGAAGAAGCATAAAGGAAGAACAAAAACAACTCACGTCCTTTCGTGCTGTTTCGCTCTCAGGAAAAACTGCCAAGTATAGAACAAGTGTGTCATACATGCAGTCCCGGTATATCTCAATGGCCCGAATGGCGAATTCAGGATGATTCTGCAGAGAAATTTGCCATATTTCAAGATGAGTAAATGCACTTGATTTTTCAAGAATGACATGCAATGTCGATGCCTACAGAACACTTCAGAGAAATTTGAATGAGACGTACGCATACAGGCTTTCCACTTATTTTTCAGCGCGCAACCATGCACCCAGAGTGAGTGCATTCTACTGTTTCTAAGATAAAACCAACCGTGATATCTAGAATCTGCCTATCTAAGTACATATCCCTGTGTTGTAAAATGCAGGCACGTAGTTGAGTAGGTGTGAGATATGGCATTTTTCGCACATTATTCACAACCTGAATCAATAAGTAGTCAAATAAACGAGTACAATAAAGGTGTCATCGACCGCTTCAATCTACATTCCAAGGAAATCATCCTTAGAACTATAGATTATCATACCTGAATAGAAGAAGCTAAATCAAGAGGGCCCGAAAACTTATTAAACAACTCTTCGAGAAGAAACGATCGTGCTTCAACAAGTTTATCAGCAATACCCTGGAACAAGGAGAAAGAATGGACGAAAAGTTGTTGCACAAATACTGCTTAAATGTTTTGCTGCCTAAGATACCTTGATCAAGGGATTTTTAATAATGGAATGTTGTTGAAGCATCATTCCATAATTTGTTAGCGAATATGCAGCCTCGTAATATCCTGCACGAATACAAACATCCATTCTCTATAAAAGAAATCACAGTTCAGGATAAATGAGGTCAAATTTTGAAATTCTAGAAGTAAAATCAAGGAGAAGATGTGTGAGTAATCAAAATAAAGGTGTTCTCAACGGGTTTGGTTGTAAGCGAAAAGTCATATCCTGGTCACATAAATTATAATACTATTCGTGCGAAACGGAATATACTTATTAGAAGTTACAGGTATTCTGTCTGAAAGCCCAAATGCAATAACATACACTCTGATCGATTCGATTGGTACTCCTCACCACGATTTCCACAGGATGTTTACCGAAAAACTACACGGTTTCATATGAACTAAGGAACTAAGTAATGGACATATCGAAATTTAAGAACTACAGTAATGGACAGATCGAAATTTGTAAGATGCGTCCTTCGGATAGGATAGGTTCAACGATTTCTTCTATATCGATGTATGGAAGGCTGCGAAGCTGAGCTACTAGATTTATACGACGCCATTCATTTCGCACATCTCCAATCTGACAAGGCTAAGTAGGTACCCGGAAACTTACTACCAACCGCTGTACCAAAATGAGTATTCAAATTTTTGTAAACTCACAGAGGGCAACGAAAGCAGCTCCCCACACGAGATTCTCTTTCTGGCAGGCTGACTGCTACGATATCCAATTCGTTCGACCACTGTCTTGGCTACGCAGCATGGAATGCACCGATAACTACCGACGAGTTCTGGGACTTGTGCTGACACCACCCGTAGCTTATCCTTCATTTCCGTAAACTGAAATACCAGTAATCTTCGAGTGAACGCTCAAATAGGTGCAACCATTTCAGCAAATCTGTTGCAAAAGAATGCGATAAAGGAAAGCGGCGCCACCAATCTCAAAAACTGCTAAATCCAGAAATTTTTGACACGTACGTTTTCGAACAATGTCTCTAAATTTCAATATACTTATGCTTATTCGAATATTGAAGGCTCGATAAAAGCAGAAGACGCCGAAATTTTCCTTGAGAGGGAAGCATTTTTGCAGCAAACTAGAAAATTTTGATTCCTTTCAAAAAATACTTCTAAGGCCTAGCATTTCCGTACACGCATTTATACCAGGCATAAGAGCTCAGGACAGTACAACATTAAAGTATACTAAAGTTAGTGAGAAAGTTTGTTTTAATATACTGATTGCAATGGAAACTTAGCACAGGGCTGTTTCGACTTCACGAAGAAAGTAAATGCCAATATTTCCAAGACACTACTTTAACAAACACTCACTATTTCTGTACAGTGCTGTGTCGTTCTTCCAGCATCAGCGTAAGTGCGATAATTATTGAACGCTAAATCCCCAATCTGATCTTGTAGCGATTTCAAATCACTCAGAATGAGATTCCTTTCACGTCCTAAACAAGAATATGTAGGAGATGATCAATGATGGTGCGAGTAAGCAAAGAATGAACCGTCCTGTGGTCTGTACACGTTATGCGATTTTTCGATGATTGCCAAACTACAGCGTTACCTCGGTTCGTGAAGCGAACACCAGGACGACCACTGGCCCGACGGCAACGGTCGTCCGGATGTTCATTTCAGCTCTGCTTGAAAGCAACGAAGGATTATGTAGCCCTCCCGTGAGGAGAAACCATTGAACGAATGGAAACGCTGCTGAAGCCCGCTTGAAGCTGACACAGGTGTGACCAGAACGTTATGCTCCTTCACTCGTGATTTCGCTCATTATTTTGCTATAAATTCCGTGAGAGCATTAATTACAAATATTTCAACGAGAAAAAAATTCATTATTAATGGGCCACTAAAGTCAAGCAGGCTAAGGAGCGTGCAGAGTTGACGATCGCACGTGCGATCAGGCGAGTAGGCGATTAGGCGATTAGGCGATTAGGCGATCGCTCAATGGGCGGAGCAACAAATCAATACGTATCCTTCTCTTATCGCCTACTCGCCTACTCGCCTAATCGCCTACTCGCCTAATCGCCTAATCGCCTAATCGATACGTATACTTTTCTTTTTGAATCATCGCCTATCGCCTAATCGCCTAATCGCACGTACGATCGCCAACTATGAACGCTCCATAAACAGGCTGATGACTAATCGATTCCAGATTTCGGTTAACCAAGTGTGAAAAAATGGACATACTCAATTGCTCAGATCCCATTGTCCTTAGCTCATCTTCGATCGTGAATTGAGGAGGCAAATCCATCTCGCAGATGATCAATGCTTGCCTGCATGAACGACAACCTCAATAACTTTTCGCGTACTCATTGAGAATCGAGTGAAACAGAGTGGCACATTTTATTATGGTGTTGCAATATGGATGTTGCTCGTTTTCATTTTCTCGCGTTCAACTGCTTCGAAATCTTGGGCGGTATTATTTCACTCTCGGAAACAGGGGTGCATGGAATATCGGCTGATACACGATTCGATTTGAGCTGATTCTTTCGCTACACTTCTCTTCGACCGCGAGTGGTCGCAAATTTTTTGACTGCGGGTTGATGCGCACGAGTTCAAGAAAATGTGAGAAACCACGGGATGTGATAGAAGGTTGTGCAAAGAAAAAAAACAGTCAAGTTCTTTTTCTACGATCACATGTCATTTGAATGCGGTTGACAGGACAAAGCGCTGTGTCAAGCTGGGCAAAGCGATATTCATATTGCAACAATCTAATGCATATATAGAAAAAGTTATGAAAAGAGATGGCTTGGGAAAAGTGATTCCTCCCGCGGATCTCTTGCGCAAGTGTAGTTGTAGGTGGGTATCGAGGTGGACACATCGCGATGTAATAGTTCGCCCTGCTGAATTCTCATTTTGTGAATAAATACTCCCAATTTTTGTTAAAGTATGTATTTCCGGAGTAGGTGGATGCTTGTACAAGAGAAGAACTAGGTATCTGCGATAACTGAAATGCCTGTCACAGTTTCGTATGCCTTCCCCCCACCACGATGCCCCTTCCTCTAATAGAATTAGGCCAACTGCAAGTGGAGAAGAACATGCTCCTCAATAGGAGTTTAAAAACAGAGCGGTTCCTATCCCACCGGCTTCATGGAATGTTTAAGTTTACAGCGATGACGTTGCAGTGACAGTCCGCAAGACACACTCACTGTCCCTTATCCTACGCCAACAAGCACAGATTCCTCGTGGTGAGGACTGTGTTTGGACCACTAGGGTAGAGGAGACTTTTTCACATTTCGCAGCGTGTACTCTGGGACTTCTCATGGCTAAATGATAGATTGAAATATTTGGGAGTGGATCTTAGTGCTCCACCCGAAAAAAGTCTCGCGCTGTCCCAGCGGCCTACCGCCTGGGGAACTATGGTACTCTATTACCACGAGCTGTTGCAATAGCTGCAAGTTACGACAAGTAAATTGTTAGCCCGCATCCGAATATCCTAATCATCTAGCGGTGAGTTCCCTTCAGAGATTCCGCCGGCGCGAAAAAACGCACAGGCGAAAATCTCCGCCAAGATTTAGATACGCATCGACTGAGAAACGTCCGGAGCAGGCGAATTTCAGTCAAGAGTTTGATATGTATCGACTGTGAGAAACGCACAGGCGGAAAATCGCGTGAGCGAAGCGTTCGTAAGTCGATGCGTATGATACTCATTTTCGTCGATCCTCCCACTTCACGATTCGCCTGTGCGTCTTCGTTCAGTCGATACATATTTCACATTGTTTCGCCTATGCGTTTTTTCGCGCAAGCGGACATCTCTGAACAGGGCCTAAGCGTTGAAATTAGAACTCGTCAACAATGCACATCCTTCAAACTGCTAAAACCACCATTCCTTGAATGGGCTGGGGTAGGTGCACTATGTTGCATGCACGGTAATTGATACCCCTTATAGGTCCCAGGCAGACAGGCATCTACTATCACATCACTTCTACGAAGCGTAAGGCCCTGTTCAGAGATGTCCGCCGGCGCGAAAAAACGCACAGGCGAAAATCTCCGCCAAGATTTAGATACGCATCGACTGAGAAATTGTGAAACGCGTAAGCGAAACGTCCGGAGCAGGCGAATTTCAGTCAAGAGTTTGATATGTATCGACTGTGAGAAACGCACAGGCGGAAAATCGCGTGAGCGAAGCGTTCGTAAGTCGATGCGTATGATACTCATTTTCGTCGATCCTCCCACTTCACGATTCGCCTGTGCGTCCTTCTTCGTTCAGTCGATACATATTTCACACCAATGTTTCGGCACTTGACGTTTTTCGCTCACAGCGGACATCTCTCAAACACGCTTAGCCTTAAACAAGCAAAGTAAGCCGTATACTAAGTCTTGAAGAAAATAAATTTAGAGCACCGTCCGTGGTGTGGTCTCTCTCCCTCGCCACTAAGCACCTAAACCCGTTCATATACGATGTCTTTGGAGTTTGGCAAAAATTTCCCATAACAAATACGGAGGGCCGCAGTTTCGCCTAAATTGTCAGAAAATGTGCTCGATTAGCCGATTCGTAACTTATCCTTAGGGTCAAGTCGCTTCGCCGATCCTCCCGATTAAAGCGCTTTATTCTTCTCGAGGTTCCACTATTTACCTGAAATTGTGCGTGAAGCCCACTTATACAACGTTCACGCCCAAATTTCTGAAAAATCGGCTTTGCTGTAACCTCCCACCCCCCCCCTCCCCGAGAGGAGGCTTTATTGATGTGCAAATTTAAACGTTCTTCAGGTATGGGTGGCTTTTGAGATGACTTTTTTTAAGAGCACCTCCTCCGTTACGTTTTTGTCTGTTGTACAAGTTCACTTTTGCATTTTACCTTTTTAGGGTGTACAGGTATGGAGAACAATGGCGAAGTGTGTTCATCGGCTTTTTACCGTGATAATCCTGATTGGGCCGATGTGAAACCAATTTATCCTTCCAAGGAAGAGGATGGAGCTGTTCGCATTGCCGTAACTGAACAGTGTGCGTTCTTTATACCAAGGGATCTTATGGGAGCATCAAAACTGTATCATCGGGCCGTTGTTTCAGTTCGAGACGCGTTTGCTTATCTTCGCGCAGTGCTTGCTTCTGGAGAGATGTCGTTGAGAGTGTTCTTGTTAACCGAAGACTGCATTCAGCTGAACCCTGCGAACTACACACTTTGGTTAGACTTTGAATCATAAGACATATGTATAAGCAGAAGCTGCGTTATTGAAGTATTTTGTTGGTGAAGGTGGGAGTAGACTTTGCAACGTATTCAGGCAGTTCCGCCGAGAGTTGCTGAAGAAGCTTGGGGTAGATCTGAGGAAGGAGCTCAAATATCTCGATGATGTCATCATGCAAACGCCGAAGAATTATCAAGTTTGGTGAGCCGTGTTTGAATTAGTTTCGGTGGTGAAACTCCAGTTCGGGGGGGGGGGCACTCCATTTTTTCTCCAATACTCAAGATAAGGATTAGAGGGCTCACGACACGTAATCGACTCATTTAAAGTAGACTTCTGATAAATATTGGTGTAATGGGTGAGAAACCCTGAAACGTTTTCACATTTCCGCCTGCCATGACCCAAGGGAACGGTCCTGGACCAGGAGAAAGGACACCTCCGCAAAGGGCTAAGGGTGCAGGAGCTCCAGGGTGGATCACCTGTGCAGAAAAGTGGATGGGATGTGGGCAGGTAGTGTGGAATGTAGGACATCCACCGGTCCTTATCAAAAGTACGCTCGAAATGAGTCGTTCACTTATTATCTTATCCGTAGTGTTCGATAGCCCAAAGAACTGCTCTCTAGTACTACGGATAAGATAGCAATGGAGTGGCCCCCCCCGAACTGGAGTTTCACCGCCCTCGTATCTGCGATATCGCCCATTGCTATCTGGGTGTTGTTGGGAAGAATTTTTAAGCTACTGTTTAATGTTATGGGTTTTTCAGGTTTTGTTGCGCGCCAATGGGTGCTCCCAGAGAACGTTGATCTGGAAGCCATTAAGTCTTCTCTGTCCGATAGTGGCCATCTTTCCATTGAAGCACCGAAGCTGGCCAAGGCGACTGAGTCCGGACGAAGCATTCCTATCGAACGAGTCAGTGAGAAGAAGTGAACTATTTTTCAGAGGTT